TAAGCGTTAGATAATGTATTGTATTTATACGAAAAATATATGATTTAACAATACTTACCTCCTGCCATTCAGTTAACGTAAGATTATTTTCAGTACGTCCTGTATACTCATCTCCACTGTTGTAGCCAGTTGCCAGCTCATCTAAATTTGAGGCATTTCCACCTACTCTTCCACTTACGTTAGTATCCGTGCCTAAATAAATCGAATTTATTGCCTTGTATTCCGTGTTTATAACCATCAGAATTTTATTTGAATGGTTGATGATCTGTTGTACAAGTTAAAAAAAGATTTTTTTAGTAAACCTTTCATTACCTTGTTGACCATTGCAAGAAGCAGCAGGTGGAGTAGCCTGTCTCTCACGTTCTCTTTCTCTCTCTCTTCCCCTGCCTCTATCCCTCTCTCGTTCACGCTTTGTGCGTGAAGGTCTACCAATACAGCTATTAAAAGATTAGTAGATCTCTTATTAAATATAAATATAAACCTATACCGTAAAGCGTGTAAAATACCTTCTGCATATCCTATTTTATGTAAATTATATTACAACACACAAGTGCATTTTATAACATCCATTTTTAGTCCTTGTGCCTTTTTCAAATACCTGTGGGGACTGACTCTCTGTCTGTGACGTTTACCATGACTTGGACCACTCCCATCTTCAAAATGTTTGTCTTCGCGGCGGTCAACGTTTGTCTGTAATAAAAACATTATATATTAGCAAGATAAATCTCCCTAAAATTTGACTAATTGTAAGATCCTTATTCTATAACTCTTAGGGCCGCGCGGTTGTTCCACCTTTTAGTAAATTTTATCTATGAGGTAAATCTGGTAATCCCCGCATGTGATTGGGTAATCTTGCTACTTACCCAACAGATAAAATGTACCAAAAGGTAAAACAACTAGGCCTTAATAATAGTAATGATATTGAAATATTGTCTTTACACAGATTTATATATAATAAAAAAAGCTGTACCATGGCAATATAATATTATTATATAATGTGATATTGTTACTGTCGTTAAGAATTATAGAATAGGAGCCTAAGCAATCAATTGTATAATTACTGACTGTATATAGCACAAATATTATTCATGTATTGTTAATTATTTTACTGGTGTCTCTATATTCGTTAGCGGTAAACACTATTTTTCAACATTTAATATTTACATCATTGTCAATGCACAAAATGATCTATATAATACGAAGGCTATCCAAAGCAAAGGAAGGGGTAATCCTGTGTGCTTTATACCTCGTACGAGTTGCCAGTTAACACGAGAGAACCGCTATGAGATCCATGATCGCTTTGGACTCCATGTAGATCGACGGCAAAGCCGCTGGCGCCCCGTACCTAGTCAGCGAGTTGGCAAAACTTCTGTTTTAAAACCTGCTCCTTTTAAGCAGAGAGACAGAGCAAAGTCCGGAAATCGCGTTCCGTCTCTCACCTGATAAGGACTGTTCGGGTGCGCAATGCTGCCGGAACTGTGCTCGTTCTGCACGACCCCGTGATGGACGTCGACCTCGGATCCGGCGCCTCCCTCGCGCGTTCTGTCCTTCGACGCATTCGCCTTCTTCTTCGATAAAATTGTCATGATCTCGAACGATCAATTCCTTCTTTATCTCTATCTCTGTCTCTCTCTTTTTCTCTCTCTTCTCGCTCTCTCTCTCTCTCTCTCTCTCGTCCTCGTTGTGGAGCGATGATACGTCACAAATCGGTTCACGATCGTTTCGCGATCGCACATCGCGTCATCGTGAAACAATCCGTTCACCCTCCCGATCGCCAGCTAAACCGTCTGCGTATCTATTACTTTTTTTTTCCTCGCAGGCGAACTAGAGAATAGAGTTCCTCGCGGATGACCGCGCACACCTTCCGCACTCTCTCCAATCTCACGTTTACGTCGACGTCGTTGCGTCACTCGTACGACGAGAAATTTCGGTTAAGATAACGTGGTTCCATGGCCATTCAACATGTCCGAATAAAAGCGACACGATGTCGTCGATCGCTGCTATGCCTGGAATGTTTTGTCAGACGGCCATATTCGTTTCAACTCTAGAATAATCGGAGCCAATCGGAGTACAAAGAACACTTTGGAGAATGTGGGCAGCAACAGTAGCGATAGGAGTGGAAATGAATCGCGGCATATGAATTAAGGCCCGTCTACAATACACGGAGTAAGAAGTAAGAGTAAGAAATTGACCAATCACAGTCGATTATTCTTCTCACATTCGACTGTGCTTGGTCAATTTCTTACTCTTACTTCTTACTCCGGGTATTGTAGACGGGCCTTTAGGGTCTGAGCACAATGGAAGAAGTATTTAGAAGAAACAAAGGCTGGTATTCATAGTCGGTTCTTATTTCAAGACAGTCTTAAGTTAATAGCGTTTTCGGCCCGACCGGGTTTGCACCAACCTGGGTTGGATTAATGGCGTTTTGCGCTCTCCTATTGGTAGAGCGTGTGACATCAACCAATAGGAAAGATTAATCCAACCCAGGTTGGTGCAAACCCGATCGGGCCGAAAACGCTATAAGTAAAGTCCTAGCTATGGTCCACTAGATGCTACAAATATTTCGAAGCATTTTTTGATTGGTCAATTAGTGAAATTCTTTCTTCTAATTGATCAGTCAAATGCTTCCGAAGCGTTTGTATCGCCAAGTGGACCGCAACCCTAGATATAACAGAGAAGAACAACCGCTGTCCCGATTTCTGATTGGTTCCGCCATTTTTTCTACGGATAATCTTCTAGGACTCTAATTTCGGTAAGTATCATTATGGGCCTTCTACAATAAGCCGCAAGTCAGAACGTCAGAAGTCTTAACCAGACTTAACCAAGTCGTTCAAGTTGGTTATTGGCCAACTTCACCGATTATGACTTAAGGAGGTTGTAAGGAGAATGTAATATGTTAAGAATTGCTTGAAATTTGGAACATAGCTTTATCTACAAAGCATGCTTTTATGTAAATTTTTTCAGATTTTTTGACTAGCGCATTTTTCTGTAAATTAATAACAAAATTCTGGACTTTATAATAAACTATCTCTCTTTCTCTTATAGGAGACTCGATTCTATGTGTGTTTTCAACAAATATTAATATTTGAAATGTTAAGAATCGAATAAATTTATGTTTAATATATAAAGTATAGCATATTAAAAATATATTTGAACCTTAAAACAACTTTTACCACTCAGTTTATTAACAATAGTAATAAATATGTGACCAAAGATGTGATACTTCTGCCATTGAAACAGTTTGATGGAGAAAATGTGGCAACGTTGTTTCATCATCGCGAATCAAGAATATTCTATCAGTTGAGTAGTGCCGTCAAAGTCTCACTACAAAAGCTTCTAAGCACTTGATTTACTAATCACAGAAAAAAATTGTACTAAATGATTTGTCAAAGAACGCTTCAAAACATTTATAGCGTCACGTTAACCTTATCTACTCGTCAGACATTGCAATCAGACATTGCAGTTTGCAGTGTTAGGGCCTGCGCACAATAGAGGAACAAGAATTAAATATTAAGATTTCAACCTATCAAAAATCGTGTATTCCGATGTAATCAGTTTCTGATAGGTTGAAATCTTAATATCTAATTCCTGTTCCTCTATTGTGAGCAGGCCCTTATCAACTTTGATTTTTCAGTTTTACACCGTTGCCAAATCATTTCTTGAGCTAAAAATATTTATTGTTCTAAAAAATATATGTTTATCTTTGAAACTTTTACACAAATAAACACTAATATTTTTTGCATTTTAATTGCATTATAATCCATATTTCTTTAAATTTTAGCTATTTATTTCTTCAAATTTTAATGTTCAAATGTTGGCTACACTCCATATTTCTTTTGTATTAAAGCATTCCTCTCTCACTGCCCGCCTCAACCATAAGCTGGAAACACAATAGACACAGGCAACAGGGAATAACGAGCTGTCCAATCAGAGCTCTGGGATATAATATCGAACTTATACCCCAAAGCTCTGATTGGACGGCTCGTTATTCCCTGTTGCCTGTGCCTATTGCCTGTGTCTGTTGTGTTTCCAGCTTTACAACCTCCTTAAGATCGCTTAGAACTTCTGACTTGCGGCTTATTGTAGAAGGCCTATAAGGCGTCGTCTACAATACACGGAGTAAGAAGAGTAAGAAATTGACCAATCACAGTCGATTATTCTTCTCACATTCGACTGTGATTGGTCAATTCCTTACTCTTACTTCTTACTCCGTGTATTATAGACGGGCCTTAATGTAACCCCGGATCTACAATAGGTGTTTTAAGCCTTAAGCCGTAAGAAATTGACCAATTACAGTCGAATCCGAGAAGAATAAGCGACTGTGATTCGCCCATTTCTTATGGTTTAAGGCTTAAAACCCTATTGTAGATCCGGACTAATGCATCAGCTGTCATTAGTTTATAAAGGTGCCTTTTCATGCGACGCTCGACGTTCATTTTCAGCGTCAAAATAAGTCATGTGATAGATATTGACTACATTTACACGGCACCCTTAATCAAGTTTAATAACATCCGTAGTTATGAAACTGGCCAATCACAATCATTCCATTCTCCTGAGGAAAAGCTGTGATTGGCCAATTTCATAACTACGGATGTGGTTAAACCCGATTAAGCGTGCCGTGTAGCAGAGCTCGACGAATATCAAGAGTCAATTTTGTTCTTGTGATTTATTTTGACGCTGAAAACAGCTGAAAATCAGGTCAAAAAACGGCTGCTAGGCCATACTCGATAACAAAGAAGATTAGACAACTTACTAAGTAAACGTATTTTAATTTATTGAATTCATTAATAGATTCAAATAACATTTTTACTTGTTTTTTTTTGGAGAAACAACCCGTACGCTCTTGTGGAACAGATTGTAACATTCCTAAATCTAATAATTAGTTATAATTATACAAGTTGTAAATACAAATTCTCAAAAATACTTATTCTTTATTTTTAACACACTTAATAAATATATTTCATTTTGAAACACGTCATAAGTATATTATAATAGGCGTACGATATATTGTGAAAAACATAAAATAATATATATACGTAAAGATCAATGACCAATGTTCTTTATGCAATTGAGTGATTTTTTATGTAATATATAACACAGTAGTTTTCAGTTTAGACATTTTTAGATTTTATCTCATCTGGATATTCGGGTATTCTATGCGATATAACCATAGACATACAGTTCAAACATTTTTCTGACATCATGCGCTGGCATTGCAATTCCTTTATTGTTTCTTTTAAGCTCGTTATGCAATTTTTAAAGCGTCGAAGCTGTTGCCTTTGTATTTGAATTTTATCTCGTCTCTTCTTTAATGTTTCTTGACTTTTTACGAGTTTCTCAATTAGTCTTGATGGAGAAATATGATAATGATGATCAAGGTTTACAATTTCAGTCTTATTAAATATTAATAGTCTGTTTATATCTTCATCTGTAAAAAATAAAAATTTTCATGAAGGACTTTTTCATATTAATTGTTATCTTATTTCATTATTATGTATGTTTTATCACACTAAATAATTCTTTAGAAATTATTCTTATATTCATATTCTTATATACATAAGATCTGACGTTGCTTGCACTTTTCACACTCAGCATCTTTGCTTTCTCCTTTAACACCCAAATATATTGGGACCTTGAATAAGTTCTCGCTGATTTTTCGTGAAAAGTAATGCTTTATTTTAAAAAAGTCGTAAAAAACATGTCACTGAAAGTATTGTCCATCGCTAGCCACTACTTTTTTCCATCTTTCTGGCAGCATTTGAATTCCACGTCGGAAAAACGACGCGTCTTTTCAGGCTATCCAAGAGTTGACCCATTTTTTGGCATCATCATAAGAATAAAAGTGCTGCTCAGCCAGCCCATATGCCATCGATCGGAACAGGTGATAATCGGAAGGAGCAACGTCTGGTGAATACGGCGGGTAGAGTATAGCGGAGAGCACAGACTCTTCCATAACGCATAACATGTAATGCTTAAGAATATGTACCAATCGAAGTTCTCCGTTTCTTTCCCATCCATGTAATAGAGAACTCTGGTTGGTTCAATTTCTTATGCCTCATGTGTTATGCGTTATGCAAAAGTCTGTGCTCCCCGCGTATGACTTCCCATTTAAGCGTTTCTAAGTAGGTTTTCACCGGTTGTGCAACATATGACCGTGCGTTATCATATTGCAAAATCACTTTGTCGTGTCTCTGCTCGTATAGCGGCCGTTTTTCCTTCAATGCTCGGCTCAAACGCATCAATTGTAGTCGATAGCGAGCTCTTGTAATGGTTTCGTTCGGTTTGAGCAGCTCATAATAAACTACACCGGGGTGATCCCGATTGACCACGGCTTGATTGGACACCACCAATCACAGCGACCAGCGCTTAGAAGCTTTGTAGTCTCAAGCGCTGTGGGTGGCTCGTGTCCAATTGAGCCGTGTCCAACAGGGTGTCACCCAACTATACCCAGATGATCCCACCAAATGCAGAGCAGAAACTTCGAACCATGGATATTCGGCTTTGCCGATGATGTTGATGCATGGTCGGGCTTACCCCACGATCTTCTACGCTTAGGGTTATCGTAGTGTATCCACTTTTCATCGCCAGTCACGAAACGATGCAAAAACCCTTTCCTTTTCTGCTGTTGAAGCAGCTATTCACACGTGAAAAGACACCGTTCGACGTCTCTCGGCTTCAACTCGTATGGTATCCAATGTCCTTGTTTTTAAATCATTCCTAATAATTTCAAACGTTTCGAAACTGTTGTGTGACCAACTCCTAATGATTCTGTAAGTTCAGCTATCGTCTGACATGAGTCTTCATGCAGTAATGCCTCCAATTCTTCGTCTTCAAACTTTTTCGGTGCGCCCAGAGCGTTCTTTATCTTCAACATCAAAATCATTATTTTTGAAGCGTCTAAACAAATCTCTGCATGTTATTTCCGACAGAGCATGGTCGCCGTAAGTCTCAACAAGAATTCTGTGTGTTTCAGCTGCAGATTTTTTTTTAATAAAGTAGTAAAATTCCCCGCAAATACTCTTTTGTTGGCACGAAACTCGAGGGGTGATCCCGATTGATCACGGCTCGATTGGACACCACCAATCACAGCGACCGGTGCTTAGGAGCTTTGTAGTCTCAAGCGCTGTGAGTGGCTCGTGTCCAATTGAGCCGTGTCCAACTGGGTGCCACCCAAACTCGACATGTTTAACACTATGAAACAAAAAATTGTTTACACTTTGGCGAGATGACATACACTGAATTTCAAGCTTGCTTATCAAGTTCCTTATCGATGTGTTCCCATCTTCAAATACACGCACGCAGTTCTGTTAACGCGATTTGTTGGAAAACAGCGAGAACTTATTCAAGGTCCCAATATATTTATCTCATTTTAAATTCAAGAATTTTAGAGGATTTTAAGCAATGCGGATGGACCTATAGAAATACTAATACTTTGATTTATAGCAAATTCGGTCACTTGCATTAAAGTCTTGTGTCCATGATGTTAGAATTGGTGCAAGATCTCTGATGGAAAAAAAATTATCACATTTGAATAATTCAGTCACATGACAAATTGGTCATGGATATAAGGTTTTTATACTAGATTAGTGCATACTAAATGTTGTTACACATGAAGTTAGCAAAGTTAATGTAAAAGCATATAAATATTTTAAACATCCCAGGTAGCAAGCTACGTCATTTTAACGTCGTTTTGACGTCAAATGACGTCATTTTGACGTCAGCTTGCTACCAGGGATTTAAATACTTAATAATGATATTACATTATATAACAGAATATACATGTATTATGTCATTGTCAAAGTTGATTAAATTATGCTGTTGCATTCGAATATTTAATATAAAACAGCCTTTAATGCATACTAGTTAATGAATTCGAAAAAAAAATGACCAAATTCACCATTAAAAAAAACTAAATTACAAACTTTATGTTTATAATAAGACTAATGAAAAAATAGTTACCATTTGAGTAAGTTTGGCTTAATTTATTGCAAGAAGCTTTTTGTGGAAGGTCGAACTTATTACTATTGAATTGTATCTTCTGATTCTGTTTTAAATTCTCATCAAATGTTACTTTATGAAGAGGAATATTTTCTGTTAATATCAAAACAGCTAAATTAAATATAACTTTATATTTATATTTGTATTTTAATATTTTTATTCCAATAATTAAAGATAAATACATACAACATAAAAATAAAGATTTTACCTGATTTTATAATATTGTTAAAACAGTCAACCTTATTAAATATCGTTGGAATGCTTCCATCTTTTAACGTCAAATACTTTTCTCCTACCTTGCGTAAACAAGTTTGCTCAAAATGGTCTGAGCATAAAACACTGCTTTTGTCTGGAGTCCAATTCTTGATTCCCATACTATCAAGCCATTTCTTTAAAAGATTTGATTTATCCAATGGAAACCTAGGTTTACAATATATACAAAATTATATTAAGTTATATTTCTAATTAAAATTTTTTTAATCTTACTTGAAAAAGGAATATCCTGATTGACGTATACGTTTCCGTTTGCAATATGCACAAAAACGCTTAAAACGCATTGGAATATTGTTTCAATTGTATTTTAAATCCTGAGCAGTTGAGCAATCTTCTGTAAAATGATTGAAGCATAAAACGATTTAATTTTAATATTAAATTTTTTATATGAAAAATATTTAGCTACTGTTTTTAAAAATGTTGAGAGGAAATTGACAAAATATTTAAGTATACCTTTCTTCGGCTTCAATTTCGATAAAATTACACTCATTCGATGCGTTTTTGCACGAAACGAAAGAATGAGGCAGAAAAAAATTTTGATCTACTCTGCGGAAGGAGACATTAATCGCAGAAATTTGTCAATGGCGTGTAGAAGTTTGCAGTTAAGGTTATGAAACTTTAACATAACATAAATATAACAAACTGCGCATGCGCTATGGTGACGCGGTTACATGCTTGGAATGCTTGGATATGGGAGAAGTAAAGGGTCTTCTACATAGGCTGCGTTCCATTTAAAGGCCCGTCTACAATACACGGAGTAAGAAGTAAGAGTAAGAAATTGACCAATCACAGTCGAATGTGAGAAGAATAATCGACTGTGATTGATCAATTTCTTACTCTTACTTCTTACTCCGTGTATTGTAGACGACGCCTAACGCTCGCAAGCATCGTTTGTCCTTGTTTAATATTTGATAAACAACAAATGATTCCACGAGAGTCGCGGGCGTTAAGTGGAACGCACCCTTAAGGCCCGTCTACAATACACGGAGTAAGAAGTAAGAGTAAGAAATTGACCAATCACAGTCAAATGTGAGAAGATTAATCGACTGTGATTGGTCAATTTCTTACTCTTACTTCTTACTCCGTGTATTGTAGACGGGCCTT